CCCCAAAACCCCAAAACCCCAAAACCCCAAAACCCCAAAACCCCTTAAATAAAAAATCCCAATGAAATTATAATAAATTAATAAAATGTTGAGACATAAGTTACAAGCCTATACTAATAAAATAAATGATAATCCATTGCAGACAAATAAAGGTTATAGAAAGAATGAAGATCATGTTTCTCTGCCTGCAATGAGGTTAGTCATAAAAATTATGGTGATACTGCAAGAAGTTAGTCTTTGATTGATAATAAAATTTTACTTTTTAAACTCCAATTTGGCCTAAAATTATTATACCTTACTAAATTAAGAATATTCTTTTATAGTTTTAAACATTAACGTTTTATAGGATTCAACTTCAAGAAGGAATACTTGACAACTCGAAGGAAAATGATGATGAATTAAGACCCAAAATTTTACTTAAATTTGAGGCAAAGGGTGAGCCGATTCAGCAAGAAGTTGTATTAAAATAATCAGCCAAAGGATATCCTAATGGCTCTTAAAAAGGATCTTCCTAAAGGAAGTCCCATAGGAATGGAGGAGGCAATGAATGAAGATTCTTTGTCAATAAGCATTCAGCCTTCAGTGAGTAACCTCGAATCTTCAAACTCTATTTCCTCTCATAAAGAGAAGTCTGTAGGAGTAAATGACTCTTCTCAAGATGTATTAGAAAAACGAGATTCTCTTTCAAAGAAAAGCATTGAAGAAGAAAAGCAAATTAAATCTAAAAACTATAGTCCAGCTATAAAAGATGAGGATGTTTACAGTGATAACTCTTTGGATAGGGGATCAGAAGATATGATGGCTCTTATTAAGGATGACCTGAATTCTTGAGTCAAGAATCATGATGAAACAGTTAAAAATAATCTATCAGATTGAATCCAGTCTGAAAATCAAAATAAAGAAGAGAAAGAACAGAATAAAAGCCATATTGTGTTGTAAGACTTAGAAAATCTGATTGATTATATTTTATTCAAAATTCCAGCTTACTAAAAGCTTTGATTTCCTATTAAATTATGGAGATATCTCTAAACTAACAATACTGATTTAGGCCAAATAAATCAAATTTGATCAACCAAGAAGTTAAAGATAGTTGCATAAATACTCCAGAACCCTGAAAGTATATCGAGGAATCTAGAATTGAGCAAAATTTAAACACTAAAAATGAAAATAATGAAATGAAAAAGGAGATTGATGATAAAGAAATAGATAATAGTAATATTGAACCCAACTCCAACTCGCAAGAGAGGGACAGATTAATCGAAAACAAACCTGAAAGCCATAAAGATCAGCCTGAAGTTCAGAATGAGAGTCAGAATTCTGAAGAGAGTAAAACTCAACACAAAGAAAAGAAGTAAGTTAGAATTGTAAAATTACACCTAAAGAGCTATTCATGAATTCAAAAAAAATGTACTTGAAGAGGAAAAAGTTGAGGAAGACAAAGAGGATTCATCTAAATCTAACTGATCGAAGAAATCGAATTCTAAGAAAGAGAAATCGGGGACACAAAGGGTAATGTCTCCTCCAAAAATAAAACTTTCTCTTCCTGTTGACAATCCGATCATCAATATGAATGGGATTAAAGTCATTGAGGAGGAAGATGAAGAATATATTGAAACTCCAGCTGAAAGAAATAAACAGGGAGATTTACTTCCAAAGATAGACAAAATTATTGATGTCGTATGGCACCTTAGTATAAAATTTTAGGTGAATGAAGAAGAATCGGATGAAAGCGTGAGCAGCCAAAACAGCAGTTCTAAATCTTCAAAATCTTCATCTAGCTCAAATAATAAGAATTCAAATTCATCTAAAAAGAGTTCTTCTAGTAGCCAAAGTAGTTCGAATTCAAGTTCGAGCAGTAGTGAAAGCAGTTCGAGCAGCCAGGAAGAAGAACAAGAGATTGATCCAAATGAGATTGACACAGAGATTGATAGAAACAAATTTATTAAACTCGAAGCCCCTTTCTATGATGATACCTTAAAAGAAAGCTTAGAGCTTTCAAGAACAGCATCTTTTGGAGAAGATCAGGAGTGACTTATTAAAGCAGCACCTTCATTTGCTCTGTTAGGTTTTAAAAGTGGAAATGCTCTTAAAAATAAAGTTTTAAACAAGTCTTTTCCTAAAGAAGAGTCAAAATTTGTAAAAGAAGTAAAGGATGAGGTAGGTCCTGAATATCTCTCCATTAATCCAAGAAACAACAGTCAGCCTGGGTTTTTCTACCTTGCAAAGTCGAAAGAGAAAGATGAATTCATTAAAAACTGACCTAGGAAAAAGAGCATTATACTTGACTTGCCAGGAGTATTAGTGTGCTTTGCTGATTCAAAGTCAGGGGGATCTGCATCTGCACAATGAGTTGAGATAGAATCAAAGAATGGACCGAAACAATTTGTGTACTTCTGGGAACGACCAGATCTTCAATGGTTTATGGAGAAGCTGAAGCTGAAATATGAGATAATCCTCTGGTCATCTTTAAGTAAAAGTTTAACAGATAATGTTGTCTCTCACATTCAAAGGAAATCTAAATATTTCTCAGTAATTTTATCAAGAGAGGATTGAATGAGCTTTGAAGATAGAAAACCTACCAATATAGCTCAAAGCACTTTAACACTAGCCAATAAAGAAGAAAAGAAATTAATGGATATATCATTTAGTAGAATTGATCGTTCTCTTTATCCACCTAAGCCGGTTAAAGACCTATGACTTTTAACAAAATAATAGAGATCCTAAAAGTATTATGGTTGTTGATTGCACGAGAGATAATCTTACATATATGAAGAAGAATTCACTCTTTGTAACTTTGTTATTATTTTTAGGTGAAACCTTTTATAAAGAAAGATGATAATTCTAATATGTTTGTATCCCAAAAATTAATTGCAGACATGGGCTCTAAAGACAGTTTTTCTGATTCTCAAAACGAAGACGACAGTAAGATTATGACTTATCCTTAGGCTCATCTTCTTCTTCATCCAGCAGTGACAGCGATAACGAAAATGAAGAACCACCAGAACTTGACTTATCGAGTAATTCACAACTTATTGTTTAGGTGAGAAGGAGAAGCTAAGAGATGTCTATAAATTTATCAAGAAGATGTCTAAGTAGAGACTCAAATAGATAATTCAATATACAAATTCAAGATTGGGGTTTTGGGGTTTTGGGGTTTTGGGGTTTTGGGGTTTTGGGG